ACGCCTTTTTCCAGTCGAGAACCAAGACCTCGGACTTGGAGGACCTGATCTTCACCCCAGACGCTTCACACTCGGGTCAAACGGCCCCAGAGCTGCAGGTCCTGGTCTGATGAAGCCAACAGGACGACATCATCTACAAACAGCAGAATGTTGTGTATCAAATATGATACAAATGGCTTTATATATTATTTATAGGGCTGGTCTACCCCCCAGTCTAAAAGTTACACCGTGACCTTTTATATGACTGGGATTTGGAAAATTTATCTTTATTTTTATTATTTTGACTACATATTAGTGCTTATTTAAATTGTACCTGTCTTGTATTTTTATTCAGTTACTCTCCACAGATCTGACCTGTAACTTGGCCTAAAAAAATCAAGTTTTATAGTAAATTTAACCAAGAAACTAGAAAAGCAGTCAGAGAGCGCAGACTCCGCCAAGGACCACAGTCCCCCTCATATTAACTGTGTTTTCCATAAATATTTGTCTCGTATCTTTCAATTTGGAATATGAAAGAGGATCCCATTGTCCATCCCTGAGTCAAATTTCATGGGGTTTGGTCAATAATTAACCCAGATATTGAGAAACAAAATGTTTGGCCCCATTTACCACAATGTTAACTAAAATTTCAAAGTGATCCAGAATCCAGGATTTCTTCCGGATCAGCCCCAAAATGAAATCAGTTCTTCCTTTTCACATTTCCAACAAATCCTGAAAATTTCATCAAAATCGGTCCATAACTTTTTGAGTTATGTTGCTAACAGACAAACAAACAAACAAACAAACAAACAAACAAACAAACAAACAAACAAACAAACAAACAGACAAACAAACAGACAAACAAACAAACAAACAAACAGACAAACAGACAAACAGACAAACAGACAAACAAAACAAACAGACAAACAACAAACAAACAAACAAACAAACAAGACAAACAGACAAACAGACAAACAGACAAACAAACAGACAAACAGACAAACGCCGGCAAAAACATAACCTCCTTGGCGGAGGTAAAAAGGACTAAACCAGGACTAAACCAGGACTCAACCAGAACTAAACCAGGACTAAACCAGGACTTGTGTGATTGGATGTTCCTGGTGGGACTTGCACGTCGTGACTTGGACTCAGGTCAGACTTGAGACACTATTTTTAGGACTTGAGACTTGATAAAATGGATTGATTTAGTTTTTTTTTTGGACTTCATATTACTGTTTATTTATATATTTTACTAACCCTTTGACCTGTAACTTTGCCTAAAAAAAAAAAATCAAGTTTTATAGTAAATTTAACCAAGAGAAAATGAGTCAGAACATTCAGTTTGTTCTTGAATGTTGCCGGTGTTGGTTTTGTGTTTCTGAAAGCTGCGTACAGTTTGGTTTCTTTGTCCTGTGGTGGTGTTTGTTTGTTCGTGTTGTTCTTTAATCTTCTCCCCGTTGCTCAGGTTTGCGTCCGTGTTTGTTTGGGTTTGGATCCGGAGACGAGCTCCTGTCGTCAGGGATCCCAGCAGCGCCGCTCTGTTGTGGGGAAAAGGAGGAGGCGGCTCGTGTTGACATGACGTCACTTTACCACAACCACACGAGTCAGATCCTCACCTCAGCAGCGTCGGGTGTTTTTCTGATGAACCGGATTAAAACGGTTTCACATTTAGTTGTTGTTGTTCTTAAGTGGAAGTGAAATCTCCGGGGGTGAAGTGGGCGCGACACTCGAGGGAACGACTGACGCACACTTCCCCCGAACTGAGATTCAAATAAAAAGAACTAATATTAAACAATTCTACAACTTAAATGTCAAACCGGAGCTGGAAATAAACTGCACCAGGACTAAACCAAGACTAAAACAAGGACTAAACCAGGACTAAACAGGAAAACAAGGACTAAACCAGGAAACCAGGACTAAACTCAGGACTAAACCAGGACTAAAAAACAAGGACTAAAACAAGGACTAAACCAAGGACTACTAAACCAAGACTAAACCAGGACTAAACCAGGACTCAGGACTAAACCAGGACTAAACCAGGACTAAACCAGGACTAAACCAGGACTAAACCAGGACTAAACCAGGACTAAAACAAGGACTAAAACAAGGACTAAAGGACTAAACAGGACTAAACCAGGACTAAACCAGGACTAAAACAAGGACTAAAACAGGACTAAAACCAGGACTAAACCAGGACTAAAAACAAGGACTAAACAGGACAAAACTAAACCAGGACTAAAAACAAGGACTAAACCAGGACTAAACCAGGACTAAACCAAGGACTAAACCAGGACTAAACAGGACTAAAACAGGACTAAAACCAGGACTAAACCAGGACTAAACCAGGACTAAACCAGGACTAAACCAGGACTAAACCAGGACTAAACCAGGACTAAAACAGGACTAAACCAGGACTAAACCAGGACTAAAACAAGGACTAAAACAAGGGACTAAACCAGGACTAAACCAGAGGACTAAACCAGGACTAAAACAGGACTAAAACAGGACTAAAACAGGACTAAAACAGGACTAAACCAGGACTAAACCAGGACTAAAACAGGACTAAACAGGACTAAACAGGACTAAAACAGGACTTGTGTGATTGGATATTCCTGGTGGGACTTGCACGTCGTGACTTGGACTCAGGTCAGACTTGAGACACTATTTTTAGGACTTGAGACTTGATAAAATGGACTAAGACTTGGGACTTGACTTGAGGAGGTTTATGAAGCACTTTTAAATGTGAATTTGTTCTATTCTGAAAGTAATGATTCACACTAAGATCCTGTCAAGACATTTAAAAAGGAAACATTAACATTTATACAACTCTTACATTCTTTATAAATACTCATAAATAAATATACTATGATTTTATAAGTACAATTTATCTTAAAATTCACATAAATTACAAAAATCTAACCTATATTTGGTACTTGTGTGTAAAGACTTGAAGCTCAAAGCAGACGACTTGGACTTAACTTGGACTTATGGCTCAGCGACTCGAGACCCGACTTGGACTCGCCTGTATTTGACTTGGGACTTGACTCGGACTTGAGGACAAAGACTTGAGACTTGCAAAACGACGACTTGGTCCAACCTCTGGTACTTGGCCCCTGTTTCAGCAAAATCCTAGAACCGCCGCTGCATCTAAGTACTTGTCATGGTTTATTCTACATGAATCACTTTCTAACGACACGGACACATGTTCTTTTTCTTGTGCTGATTTGTTCCTGGGCTCTGTGTCTCTGGGCTCTGTGTCTCTGGGCTCTTGTGTCTCTGGGCTCTGTGTCTCTGGGCTCTTGTGTCTCTGGGCTCTTGTGTCTCTGGGCTCTGTGTCTCTGGGCTCTTGTGTCTCTGGGCTCTGTGTCTCTGGGCTCTGTGTCTCTGGGCTCTGTGTCTCTGGGCTCTGTGTCTCTGGGCTCTGTGTCTCTGGGCTCTTGTGTCTCTGGGCTCTTGTGTCTCTGGGCTCTGTGTCTCTGGGCTCTGTGTCTCTGGGCTCTGTGTCTCTGGGCTCTGTGTCTCTGGGCTCTGTGTCTCTGGGCTCTCGTGTCTCTGTGTTTCCTTGAAGTGTAAACACTGTGGTCTTTGAGCTCCGGAGGCAGCAGACCCTCACATGAGCCGCTCGCTCACATAAACTCTGACATAAACACGATGAAACGGGAGGCAGCTCCTCGTCTCGGCACAAAAGCTCGAGGACTCGGGCTCTCGAAAACCTGCTGCTCCTCCTCCTCCTCCTCCTCTTCTCAGACGCTCTTCTCATGTTAATCAAACACCGATTCTGCTGTTAGGATCCAACAACCACACGATTAACGATGTTCGAATCCCAAAACTAAAATAGAACCAGAAACAAAAGTGATATGGTTCAAAAGACTCGAAAAGATCGACTTTGACAATCGACACATCCACTGGGAAAACAAACATGGAGGTTTGACGCTCACTTTTTCAGAAAATCCTTCCCAGTGTGAACTGCACAACGACCGAAAGTCTGAGATTCTTGATGCGTTTGTTTCTGCACCATAACTCTTCATTTAAACAGACTTGTGATTTGATATATTGTGATGGTCCACGATATTATTGTGAAAACTTTGACGATGCGATATCACCATATTTCTGTCTTTTATTTTATTATATTTTATTTTAATTTTTTTTAATGTAATTTAATTTTATATTTTTTTATTATTTTTTTTATTTTATTTTATCAATTTTATTTTATTTTTTATCTATTTTATTTTCAATTTTTTCAATTTTTTTTTATTTTAATGCTTTTATGTATTGATTTTATTATTTTTATCCGTTGATTTTTTTTTTATTATTTTATTTATTTAGTCTATTAGTTTCCTTATGGTTGAAACATAATTCTGCAGATTTTTTTAATTTTAATTTTTAATTTTAATTTATTTTAAATAAATTATTTTAATTAAATTTTATTTATTGATTTTATTATTTTTATTTGTTGATTTTATTTTTATTATTTTAAATTTTTTTTATTTTAATAGTTTTCTTATGGTTGAGACATAATTCTGCTGATTTTTTATATTTATTTTTTTATTTAAATTTATTTTAATCTAATTTATTTAAATTTAATTAATTTTATTTATTTATTTATTTATTTATTTTTGTACTGCTTTTATGTATTGATTTCATTATTTTTTGTTTGGTGATTTTTATTTTTATTATTTTATTTATTTATTCTAATATAATAATTGTCTTCTGGTTGAAACATAATTCTGCTGATTTTTTATTTTTATTTTTAATTTTTATTTCTTTTAATTTAATTTAATTTATTTTTAATTTTTCTTTCTTTCTTTCTTTATTAGTACTGCTTTTATGTATTGATTTTATTATTTTTATCTGTTGATTTTATTTTTATTATTTTATTTATTTGATCTGTTGGTTTCCTTATGGTTGAAACATAATTCTGCAGATTTCTTTATTTTATTTTTATATTTTTTTTAAGTAAATAGTTTTATATTACTGTGTGATATTGGATATTTCCTCACTTCTTCTTCTTCTTCTTGCAGACGTACGGCCTGAGCGGGGAGAGTCTGCGCAGTCTGACGGAGAAGCTGCGCGCTCTGGCCTGCACGCTGCAGATGGGCATCCAGGGCAGGTGGAGGCTCAACAGCTACGACGGACGCGGCGCCACCAAGCTGTCGGTGGGAGAACTGCAGCTGGTGGTGGAGCTGATCGTTTCCGCCAAAGGCCTTTTCTCTCTGCTCAACAGGTCGGTTACGTAACACATCCCGACGCTTCCTCGACGCTCCGAGGATGTTTCTGCTCCCAGGACGTTTCTGCTCCGACGCTTTTCTAAAGAAAGAAACGTGTGCGAGTTCTGAGAAAAAAAAAAAAAAAAAAAAGATTCAGCGCGGAGACGAATCATTCAGAAGGAATTTAACACTGAGACTGGAAACAAAATATATACATGAATCAAAAAGAACTGATCTGATCTTTGACGAAACCAGGACTAAAGCAGGACTAAAACAGGTCTAAAACAGGTCTAAACCAGGTCTAAACCAGGTCTAAACCAGGACTAAACCAGGACTAAAGCAGGTTTAAAACAGGTTTAAAACAGGTCTAAACCAGGACTAAACCAGGACTAAAGCAGGACTAAACAGGACTAAAACAGGACTAAACCAGGACTAAACCAGGACTAAAACAGGACTAAACCAGGTCTAAAACAGGACTAAAACAGGTCTAAAACAGGACTAAAGCAGAACTAAAACAGGTCTAAAACAGGTCTAAACCAGGTTTAAAACAGGTCTAAACCAGGTCTAAACCAGGACTAAAGCAGGACTAAAACATGTCTAAACCAGGTCTAAAACAGGTCTAAACCAGGTTTAAAACAGGTCTAAACCAGGTCTAAACCAGGTCTAAACCAGGACTAAAACAGGTCTAAACCAGGTCTAAACCAGGTCTAAACCAGGACTAAACCAGGTCTAAACCAGGTCTAAAACAGGTCTAAAACAGGTTTAAAACAGGTCTAAACCAGGTCTAAACCAGGTCTAAACCAGGACTAAAACAGGTCTAAACCAGGTCTAAAACAGGTCTAAACCAGGACTAAACCAGGACTAAAGCAGGACTAAACCAGGACTAAATCAGGACTAAAACAGATCTAAACCAAGTCTAAACCAGGACTAAACTAGGACTAAACCAGGACTAAAACAGGTCTAAACCAGGTCTAAAACAAGTCTAAAACAGGACTAAACCAGGTTTAAACCAGGACTAAACCAGGTCTAAACTAGGATTAAACCAAGACTAAACCAGGTCTAAACCAGGTCTAAGCCAGGACTAAACCAGAACTGAACCAGGACTAAACCAGGTCTAAAAATACTTGAATCAAGAAGAATCGATTTGATTCTTAAAATAAGATTTGTTTATAAAATGAGGAGAAAAATGCTCCTGAACTTGAAATAAAACAAAAACTACAATTAAAAAACGACTCACTTTGTGTTTCGAAAGTAATTTTTGTCGTTCTGGCAAATTAAACGAACTCAAATAACAAATAAACAAATACTACTTTTACTCAAGTCTTATCGTATTTAAAATGTAAACATGAGCGATTATAAAACTCTACATTTATATTGTTGATTTTAAATTTAAAGTTATATGTGTTATTGTTATTTTCTTACATATCGTCTATTTCTGACTCATTTAATTGTAATTTTGTGTAATTTTAAATAATTTTTTAATTGTAACTTTGTGTAATTTTCGTTTCAGGTACCAGTTCCATCAGCTGAGTCAATATTCTTCCACTAAAGACATTTTCACGAGCTGCAGACACTTGGGGGAGATCGTGCACAACGTAAGTCGACAAGAAAACACTTTAGAACCAAAAATATTAAATGTTTTACAGAATGAGAACGAGATTTCAAACCATGAGAAGTTTCTTTAATATTTTTAATATTTTTCGAGTCGTTTTCCGCTGTTTGGATCCAACAACCGCACAACAACGATGTAAAACTAAAACTTAAATATGACAATATCAGAACCAGAAACAAAAGTGATGTGGTTCAAAAGACTCGAAAAGATCGACTTTGAAAACAAACACGGACGTTTGACGATCACTTTTTCAGAAAATCCTTCCCAGTTGTGAAATGACAGAATCTGAGATTCTTCATGCGTCTGTTGCTCCAGAAAACTTCATTTAAACAAACAGACTTGTTGTGATTCGATATATCGTGATGGTCCACGATATTAATGTGAGAACTTTGACGATATCACAATATTTCTGTGTCTTTTATTTTATTTATTTATTTTTATTTTTTTAATTTATTTTTTTTATTTTATTGTATTTTATTTATTTATTTTTTTATTCTATTTTTTTGAAACAGGACTGAACCGAGGACTGACCCAGGTCTAAAGTAGAACTAAACCAGGTCTAAACCAGGTCTAACCCAGGACTAAACCTGGACTAAACCTGAACTAAACCAGTTCTAAACCAGTTCTAAACCAGTTCTAAACCAGGACTAAACCAGGACTAAACCAGGTCTAAACCAGGATTAAACTAGGACTAAACCAGGTCTAAACCTAAACTAAATCTGAACTAAACCAGTTCTAAACCAGGTCTAAACCAGGTCTAAACAAGGTCTAAACCAGGTCTAAACAGGACTAAACCAGGTCTAAACCAGGTCTAAACCAGGACTAAACCAGGACTAAACCAGGACTAAACTAGGACTAAACCAGGACTAAACTAGGACTAAACCAGGACTAAACTAGGACTAAACCAGGACTAAACTAGGTCTAAACCAGGTCTAAACCTGAACTAAACCTGAAATGAACCAGTTCTAAACCAGTTCTAAACCAGATCTAAACCAGGTCTAAACTAGGACTAAACCAGTTCTAAACCAGGTCTAAACCAGGTCTAAACCAGGTCTAAACCAGTTCTAAACCAGGTCTAAACCAGGACTAAACCAGGTCTAAACCTGGACTCTGTACTGTGTTTACGAGAAACAAGTTACAGTTTTTATGTAAGAGGAACAAAACCCAACAACACAAACGCTTCTCTGTCCCAGTAAAAAGGAAGTCAGAAGTTTAAACTCTGTAAAACTGTCTGAAACTCTCTCTCCATCTCTCCTTCTCTCCTTCCTCCTTCTCTCCTTCTCTCCTTCTCTCCTTCTCTCCTTCTCTCCTCTCTCTCTCTCTCTCTTCTCTCCTTCTCTCCTCTCTCTCCTTCTCTCCTTCTCTCTTCTCCTCCTTCTCTCCTTCTCTCCTCTCCTTCTCTCCTTCTCTCCTTCCTTCCTCCTTCCTTCCTCCGTCTCTCCTTCTCTCCTTCTCTCCTTCTCTCCTTCTCTCCTTCCTCCGTCTCTTCCTTCTCTCCTTCCTCCTTCTCTCCTTCTCTCCTTCCTCCTTCTCTCCTTCTCCTTCTCTCCTTCCTTCTCTCCTTCTCCTCTCTCCTTCTCTCCTTCCTCCTTCTCCTTCTCTCCTTCTCTCCTTCTCTCTCCTTCTCTCCTTCTCTCCTTCCTCCCTTCTCTCCTTCTCTCCTCCTTCCTCTCCTTCTCTCCTTCTCTCCTTCTCTCCTTCCTCCGTCTTTATCTCAAACATTCCTGACATTTTTCCGGGCAGACTGACCCAAGCCGAGTTTCACCGGGACTTTGGACGTGTTTCTGAAAACCTGAAACTGTGAAAAAGCGTGAAAGCTGAAGCGTGTTTGTGTCTCTCCTTTTTTTTTTTTTTTTGAGGCCGGGCGCTTGAGGCAGGGGGCGGGGCTCGCGTGGGAAAGGGGAGGAGCTCGAAGGGGGTTGACTTTTTGACTCGCGGCGCTCGGGAGGATGATTAACTAGACCGAGAGACGCACACGACACACGAGGACCTGCAGAAAAAAAAAATGAAGAGAGAAACGGAGGATTACAAAAGCAGCGTCTGAAAACCGGGTCGAGGTTTTTCCCGGAACGACAGGTACGACTCGAAGCTCCTGATTGGATTATTCTTAACCCGGAGACGCAGGATTAGACGGGATTTAATGACATAAAATGATCTGTGGGTTTTATTTTATTTGCGTGCGGTGATCAGGTCTCGCTTCCTTTTTGAAACTTGACGCAGTCGATCGAAACGGGTTTTGTTTTTTCACTTGGTTTTTTTTGTAATAATTTGTTTCTAGACTCCGGATTTTCTTTTTAAATGTTCAGGAGACGAGTGGGAATGTTTATGTGAAGTTTAAAAAGGACTAAACCAGGACCAAACCAGGTCTAAACCCTGGAAACCAGGACTAAACCAGGTCTGATCCAGGACTGAACCAGGACTGTACCAAGGACTGAACCAGAGCTGAAGCAGGACTAAACCAGGTCTAAACCAGGACTAAACAGGACTAAACCAGGTCTAAACCAGAACTGAAAGAGGTCTAAACAAGGATTGAACCAGGACCAAATCAGGTCTAAACCAAGACTGAACCAGGTCTAAACCAGGTCTAAATCAGGACTAAACTAGAACTGAACCAGGACTGAACCAGGTCTAAACCGGTCTAAACCAGGACTGAGCCAGAACTGAACTAGGAATGAAACAGGACTAAACCAGGTCTAAACCAGGACTCACCCAAGGACTGAACCAGGACTGAACCAGAACTGAAACCAGGTCTAAACCAGGTCTACACCAGGACTAAACCAAGAACTGAAACCAGGACTAAACCAGAGCTGAACCAGAACTGAATTCAGGACGACTAAAGCAGGACTGAAACAAGAACTGCACCAAGTCTAAACCAGGACTGAACTGAGGACTAAAGCAGGACTAAACCAGGACTAAACCAGGACTAAACCAGGACTAAACCAGGTCTAAACCTGGACTAAAGCCAGGACTAAAGCAGGTCTAAACCAGGTCTAAACCAGGACTAAACCAGGTCTAAACCAGGACTGAACCAGGACCAAACTGGGATTAGTCATGGATTAGGACTTGGATCTGCACCTCTGGGCCCGTTCAGACTCTCGGTTTCGCTCGGCTTCAGTCCAGGTTAAAAAAACTTTGTGACCCACGACTCACGTTTGTTCACAGGAAAATATCACCGTTTTTTTCCCCTAACGCCACTTTACACTTTATTATTCAGTAACACTTTATAATAACTACACCTTATTTAGCCTTAATAAAGCATGAACAAAGACTTAATTAACAATGAACAAAGATTTAATTAATAATGATTCATGCTTAGTAAATGTTTAATAAAGGATAATTCATCTTCACTTTAGAAAATCTCTCAAAAAGACTAAACTCACAGATAAACGCTGCCTGAATGATCATTACATTTCATTATTAGTAAATCATTCTCTCATAGTTTATTAATGATTAATAAATGCTCAAATGGTTAGTTCATGAGTAATTAAGTATGAAATAATTATGAGTAACTATGTACAGCACTGGTGAATTAAATGCGTCTTAGAGTCCGAAAAATACTCAAGTTTTGAACGAGGAAAAACCTGTAATCAGTGTTTCAACAGAAAACTGGTCAGACAAGACAAACCAAAAAAAAAAATCTCTTGTGACCCACCTGAGGGTCTTTGGGAAACAATCCGTGTGTCACTTGTTCATTAGTTTTTCAAAATAAAACTAAAAATAAGAAAATGAAAATATAATATAATAATGTGTATATATATATATATATATATATATATAATATATATATATATATATATATATATATATATATATATATATATATATATATATATATATATATATATATATAATAATAATTTTCTTCATTATTTGTCTCCAAAACCAAAATGAAAAAAAAAGATACTGATTCATTTTTTCAGTTTTTGATTTTTTGTTTAAATGAAAAATGGAAAAAAAAATGATAATGGACTAAACCAGAACTAAACCAGGTCTAAACCGTTTTCAGTCCTGGTCTGGTCCTGGTCTGGTCCTGGTCCTGTTCTCGGTCAGTCCTGGTCTCAGTCCTAGTCTCAGTCCTGGTCCTGTTCCTGGTCTTGGTCCTGATCTCAGTCCTGGTCTAGGTCCTGGTCTCAGCCCCAGTCTGGTCCTGATCTGGTCTTGGTCTGGTCTTGGTCTGGTCCCAGTCTCAGTCCTGGTCCTGTTCTTGGTCTCAGTTCTGGTCTCGGTCCTGGTCTCAGTCCGGTCTCGGTCTCCGGTCTGGTTCTGGTCTTGGTCCTGGTCTCGGTCCTGGTCTCGGTCCTGGTCCTGGTCCAAATGTACAAATGACACACGGATTGAAAACACTGATTTCGTTGATTTTCTTAAATATCTTTGTTTTATTCAAGATTTGACAAAAATAATCCTCAAAAGTTTGTAACGTTACGAGAAAAAAACAAAACACATTTACACTATAAAATTAGTTGCTTCATAAAACATCCTCAGTCCGTTTTATTTTTAATCAGATGATGAATTTTACTTCCATGTCGACACTTTTGTCGTGAGTTTTCAGTTTTTCTGCTCGTCCAGACTCAGAGTTTGATTTCAACGAAAACAAAAGACCCAAAGAACGATTGTTCTGACTGTTGTTAAACCGAAAGAAAAGACGAACAGATCTGGGACACTCACCTCGAGAACTAAACCAGGAAACCAGGTCTAAACCAGGACTAAACCAGGACTAAACCAGGACTAAACCAGACTAAAACCAGGTCTAAACAGGACTAAAACCAGGACTAAAAACTAAACCAGGACTAAACCAGGACTAAACAGGACTAAACAGGACTAAACCAGGACTAAACCAGGACTAAACAGGACTAAACAGGACTAAACCAGGACTAAACCAGGACTAAACCAGGACTAAACCAGGACTAAACCAGGACTAAACCAGGACTAAACAGGACTAAACCAGGACTAAAACCAGGACTAAACCAGGACTAAACCAGGACT